CTAACTCATGTTATCGATTATTGTTACAAGAGGCGAATTCACCACAATACCCCCCCCGGCTAGTTACCGGCTAACGATACCGAAGGGGGATTTTCACCCGTCGTCCTGCCGATGTATACCTGACAGCCTCCTCCTTCATTTCGCTTTTATCGTCCTCCCTATTATTCTCGTTTCTGTTATTGTCTGTTCCTGCTGTAGGCGTTGTTTCGTTTCTGTCTACGGTGTTCTGTGTGTTTCTCTCATCTTCGTAGCTTTCCGTTGCTGTTGCCGTTGCCGTGACGTCGTGATTAAAAATAAATGCTGCCTTCAAGCGATCAATAGAAATTTTAACTTCTCTTTGTCGAACTTTGATTACGAAATATTTTTCCTGCTTCGAGAGAACTGCGTATGGACCTTCATAGTGTGGCTCCAAGGGTTGGCGTACTCGATCTATTCGAACGAATACGAACTTACAGTCTTTTAAAGCTGGTTGTATATATGTTTGTGCTTCGCCGTGGCGTGAAGGTTTCGTCATGGGTAATTTACTCATTGCTTCTCGCAGCTGTTCCATAAATTCTGTTTGGCCGGATCGCCGTTTTCTCTCGTGTAGAAACTCGCCTGGTATACATATTGGTCTCCCGTAGAGCATTTCAGCTGGACTGGCGTTTATGTCCGTCTTAACGGTAGTACACATTCCCAACAAAACAAGCGGTAAAGCGGAGCTCCAATCGTTGTTCGGCCCACACCTGATCGCGGCCTTTAGCGTGCGGTGCCAACGCTCGATCATTCCGTTCGACTGTGGATGGTATGGCGTCGTACGCAAGTGTACTACACCCAACATCCTTGTCAAACTGCGAAATACTTCGGACTCAAACTGTCGGCCTAAGTCGGTGGAAATTCTTTGAGGAACGCCATATACTGCTATCCAGCCGCTGATGAGTGCGCTGGCTACGTTTTCCGCTGTCATCTCCTTGAGAGGAACTGCCGCTGGCCACCTTGAAAACCTGTCTATACATGTGAGGCAGTAACGGAACCCGTTGGACGTCGGTAGCGGTCCAACAATATCAACATTTATATGTTGGAAGCGGTCATCAATGTCGTGGTAGCTCCCTAGAGGAGCTTTTGTGTGTCGTTGCACTTTCGCTTTTTGGCACGGGATGCAGAAACGAACGGTCTTTGCGACATCCGCAGCCATTCTCGGCCAGACAAACCTCTCAGCTACCAGTCTCTGCGTTGCTTTGATGCCCGGATGGGATAAGCCATGCAGCTTATGTATAACCCTCTCTCTAAAGGCTATCGGTACGTACGGTCGTACCTTCCCATGAGATACGTCACAAAAGAGCTTCGCCAATGAGCCTGGAAGTGGTACTTGCGTTAACGAAATTGTGTTATCCTTACCTGAACTCAGCAGGGCTTGGAGTTGTGAATCGTTTGCTTGCGCAGAGGCCATTTCGTCAAAGTTTATCGCCTCGTTGTGTATTGCGTTGATGCGGGACAGCAAGTCAGCAATGTTGTTGTCACGCCCTGGCAGGTGCCTAATATCGGTAGTGAATTGGCTTATGTAGTCGAGTTGTCGCGCTCTGCGTGGAGGTGTCTTATCACTGCTTTGTCTGAATGCGAAAACGAGTGGCTTGTGGTCGGTGAACAGAACAAATTCCCTTCCTTCCAACGCGTATTTAAAATGTTGCACTCCTTGGTATGCCGCAGTCAGCTCTCTGTCGTAGGCGCTGTACTTCCTTTGGGCGGGCGTTAGCTTTTTAGAATAAAAAACCCAAGGGTTGTACTTCTCCGTCTATTATTTGGTGTAATACAGCGCCTACGGCGTCATCTGATGCGTCGACGGTTAGGGTCAGCTGTGAATTTGGAGCCATGTAATTCAGCAACGTTGCGTTCGCCAAATCCTCCTTACATGCGACGAATGCCGCTTTACTTTCCTCTGACCATATAATGGGGGTGTTGTCGTTTTTTTGGTTGCCACTTACCAGCTGCTGGAGGACGGCTTGATTTTTAACTGCATGCGGGATGAACGGTCGATAAAAATTTATCATGCCCAAAAACTTTTTAAGCCCCTTGGCCACCGTTGGTATTTTAAAGTTCCGAACAGCTTCTACCTTCTCCTCAGGGGGCCGTATCCCCTGCGCGCTAATCGTGTGTCCCAAAAAGTTTAGCTCGCTCCTTCCGAATTGGCATTTACTGATTGCGATAGTCAAATTGCTTTGGCGAAGTCGTTCGAATACTATTCGCAAATGCTTTTTGTGCTCAACCTCTGATTCCGACGCGACCAAAATGTCGTCGATATACGCGAAAGTAAAATCGAGCCCCTTTAAAACTTCATGGATGTGACGTTGAAAAGTCTGAGCCGCGTTTCTTAGACCGAATGTCATGAAAACGAACTCAAAAAGACCAAAAGGCGTTGATATAGCCGTTTTTGGTATATCGCATGGTTCAATAGGGATCTGGTGGTATGCTTTTTGGAGATCGATGGCTGAAAACACCTTCTTGCCGTGTAAAATGCTGGTGACGTCGTGCAAATACGGTATAGGATACCTGTCCGGTACCGTAATAGCGTTTAACGCCCGATAGTCGCCGCAAGGTCTCCATTCACCACTTTGTTTCCTCACGAGGTGCAATGGACTGGCCCAATTGCTTTTCGACGGCCGCGCGAATACCGGAGCACCTGTGGTAGTTATGTGGTGCGTAACCTTGGAATTCACTGGTCTCTTGTTTGCGTTTGTCGTGGCAATATCCTGGTACTCATGGAGTAAATTCGCGTACTTATCCTTGACGTTGTATACCCGAATTTGCGTAACCTCGGTGCGCGCCGTAAGACCTTTCGTCTCCAGTAGTGTACTTCTATCTAGTAACTTGCCTCTCTTAGCGTCGACCAGGAGATCGAAGTGCTTTAAAAAATCTGATCCTATAATGGCAGAATTAACTTCCGCCAAAATGAAAGTCCACACAAACTCGCGTCTTAACCCAAGAGAGATCCGTAGTCGTTTTTCGCCAAATGTTTTAATAGCCGAGCCGTTCGCAGCATACAGTTTGGCCTTCCCGCTCGCTTTTGTCGTATTCGCCGTACGGGCCGGTAGCACGGACACATCGGCACCTGTGTCAATTAAAAATTGTGTTTTTGTGTTTTCGTCCCTGATGAGTATGCGGGCTATGCGTTGGTAGTCTTCAGATTTGCCCGCCAAACCAGAAGATGCAATTAGTTTTTTGTCGCTTTTTGTCCGCGCTCGCAGGGCGGTCGGCATTTACGGGCGTTATCCCCGTGCACCTGCTGGTACCAGCATAATTCGCCCTTTGTTCGCATTGGAGTGTTTGCCCGGGCGTCTCGTCCTCTTGACACTGAACGAGATCGTCGGTTTGGTCGGTACCTCGTATTCTGAATTAATTTGTCGAATTGCGCTTCAATGCGTTCGATTCGTTTGCTTATGCCTGAAAAAGTTTCGTCGGCTGCATTGCCTTTTGCCACTACCGACACCTGCTGAAAATCCCCTACTTCTAGAATCTTGTCGGCCAGCTTTGCTAAGTCTGGCAAATCTGCGTTAGACGCCTGTAAGATTGCCCTAACCTGTACTGGCAATCGCTGCAGCCACAGCGATTTCAGAAATTCGGTGGAAACCTTGTTTTTCGCAAGTTCACTTAACTCGCTTAACAATTGGGTTGGCCGTTTGTCTCCCAAATCCACATCCGACAGTAATTTTTGCGTTTTTTTCTGCTCGCTTTCACAATATCTATCTATTATACGTCGTTTCAGGTTGTCGTATTTGCCGTTGTCGGGTGGGTTCAAAATGGCGTCAGAAATCTGGGCTAAAACGTTTGATTCAACAGCAGCGACGACTGTGTTGAACTTTGACGAATCGGTGGAAACTCCGGCCACGCTGAATTGCGCCTCGACTTGGGCGAACCAAATCTCCGGATGCTCTGGCCAGAATGGCGGCACCTTAACCGACACTTTGTTCACCATCATGGCTTTTTCGCTCGTGGCAGCGGCCGACGGTCCAGCTCCCGTGCTTGCTTCATTATCATCTTGGTTAACCATTGGAGTTTTTGTTCGCTCCGTGACAAATACTCGCTTTTGACGTCGGGGTCACCAATTGTCGGGTGGTGCCTAGCAATAAAACGCCGGATAGTTTCTTATATTA